GCCCGCAGAGAGGCCGTTTTCACAGCAGCTGGCTTGTAAACACGCTCCGCTGCTGTGGCGCTTTCTAGGCTACTGTCCCAGAGCCAATCGCCTGGCTCGTCAAAGGGATGATGTCGACTGGGGCAAACGGCGGGGGTAAGCCCGTGGAGAAATGGGGCAGCGGCTCTCTCTTCCGGCGGAGAGGCAGCTGGGATCAACAGGATTGTTCGTTCGGACAATGGTGTCTACCTGATCTTAATCCCGCCGGCTCAGAAAAGAGCCCGGGGATTCTCCGAGTTTAATAAGCGAAAGTGCTTGTATTATCAGGATTTGCGAAAGTGCCTTTGTGTTAATCTAAATTTATTGATCTTTCACCGCGTGGTTTTTGACATCTGTCACCAGGAGGACAGATAACCCCCCTGCGCTCTGCTCTGCCTCTGGACTGCGCAGTGAGCCCAGGTTTTTTATCCATCTCCAGAATCATGCATGAAATAAGGATGCCATGGGCGCCCAAACTAGCCAACTAATTAATTTAAGTGAGCATGGAGCTGTGTCAGCATTCTCTAGCAGCACAGAGACGAGTAAAGGTTAGTTTCATGCTTTACAAAAAGACATTTCCGCTGTTAAATTGTCTTCACGTGTGAGGGTAACAGCTGAGATGCCGTGTCTTCTGTCTGCTTTTTAGAGTGGGAATTAACCGTTTCCTGTTCTTAATTAACTGCTCTGTTTCCATATTTTACATTCAAAAGCCTTAAGTAATCCCCTCACTGGTATGTGAGAAATCTATTTTAAAACTGATTGTGATGAGCTGTAGAGTTTGGCAAGGAAATAGAGGTGCCGTTTTTGTATATATATATATTTGCAATACTGGACAATGCATAACTATATCGCTGTGTTTGTCTTACCCTCAGTGGGTGCCATAGTTACATGATATTGTGTATTCATGAACTTAAAAAGCAACAGTGAAGTTTGGTGAGATCAGTGTCTGGCCTTCGGACTCGTGGAAAACTCCAGGAAACTTTTCCTTGAGAGAGAGAGATACTGGTGTGGGTGGGACTGTGCATGTCAGCAAAGGCCCAGGAGCAGGCGCTGACTGAAGAGAGAGGACAGGAGGACACGGCCGGGAGCAGACTGCATACACAGCCCATGTGAACAGCACATTTTCACAACTGAGGCGAAAGCAAATCTTTCGCTACACCCCTTTGAACTGGAGTGTACCCTGACAGTCTAACTGGTGCTCAGTTTTCAGGAAAACAGACAGAAGTAAGCATTTCATAGGGACTTCACTTGGGAATAAACCTTCAATGATTTGTGAATCAGGTCGACGAAAAAGTTCAACATTTGCTTTTTATGCAAAAAGTGTAACCATCTGAGCGTCAGTCCCTGCAGACGTCATTGTATTGTGTATCGATGTGCTTTGATTGCCAGTTTGGAAGACACCAGTGAGTGATGCGTGTCAAGATCAGCCACTGCTGGAAACCTTCCCAACAGAGAGCTGCTGGTGTCTGCTGTAGCCACAGCCAGTAGTGTAGGTTCCCTGGCCTTTCACACGCTGTGCTGTTTGCATGCATGCACAAACGCTAGCCCACTTATATAGGCCAGAAGTCATGACAAAGCAAAACCTGATACCTCTCTTCCTCCCTTTCACCTGTGAAATGACACAGCTTGAGCTCAGAACTGTCCTTGGTCAATCCATCTTTACTGCTGCATCATGGGATTCCAACACTGCCTACGTACTGTGGAGCCAACAGGACACACGAAACTCTGTCCTCGTGCACTGTGTGAACCCCATTCTGTGATGTCTTGCTAAACTAGACAACACCATTGAAAAGCGAAAGTGGCATTTCTGCCGACTTTAACCAGAAAGGCAAGAATACTTGATGTGCTGGTCATATTCATGCATTAGCATTTATATAATATGTGTGTAGTTTATTAAATTTAAAACTCATGTGGGATATATACCCTAGAAACTACCAGAAGAAAAAGTATCACATTAAAATGCACATTTTTCAAC